CAGAAAAACAAACTTAGGGCTCCCACTGATTCTATGTTATGATGAGTTGTATAATGATCTTATTATATATTACAATCTAATAATAATAGAAGTAAAGTGCACTATAAATGTAATGCATTGAATCATCCTGAAATCATCCCCCTGACCCAATCCTAGTCCGTGGAAAAATTGTCTTCCACAAAACTGTTTCCTGGTGCCAAAAAGGTTGGGGACCACTGCTGTAGATCACTACTTTTTCTTATGGCTACGATTAGATAAGAGTACAAATACATTTAAACATTGCTAAAAACCAAGGCATTGTCTTAACCTTCAGGTTCAGTAGCCATATAATTTTCCTCTTCATCCCTTGTTTTGAATGTTATTATAGATAAATACCCTTCTGTACTAGTTGCCTATTTTAAGTTTTGTTTTGTTGTTTTTGAGATGGAGTCTCTCTGTCGCCCAGACTGGAGTGCAATGGCATGATCTCAGCTTACTGCAACCTCTGCCTCCCGGGTTCAAGCGATTCTCCTGCCTCAGCCTCCCTAGCAACTGGAATTACAGGCGCGCACCACCATGCCCAGCTAATTTTTTGTAGTTTTAGTAGAGACAGGGTTCCATCATGTTGGTAAGGCTGGTCTCAAACTCCTGACCTCGTAATCCACCCGCCTTGGCCTCCCAAAGTGCTAGGATTACAGGCATAAACCACCATGCCCAGCCATTATTTTAAGTTTTTAAAAGTATAAATTTTTGTGAATAAGGAAGACATTGAAAGGTTTTTTGGGGTTCAATGCTTTGTGCTCACTGTTAGGGTTATTCTTCTTTCTGCCTTACTTGGCATCAACCAGCAGGATATGAGTGATCCTTACCCACTGGCTTCTCCTTGATATCCTTAAGGCTAAATATTATTCTAGAAAAATCAGTAGTGTCCACTGAAAGGCCAGGGGTGAGTGCTGGGCTGGCCTTCTATTGAATGATAGCTCCTTACCTATCACCCTGAGTTGGAATAGCAAGAAGAAAAAAGACTCACTTAAGAGAAGAGTCAAGTAATTTACCCGTATTTCAAAGTATTCATGCCACTTTGTTTAGCTTTAGAGCCAAAGACAAATATTCCAATAAACACATCTTGTATGCTTCAACAGCAAGTATAATTTAGTTAAGTTTGATGAACAAACTCAATCATAGTCTTCCCCCACCTACCTTTGCGGTCTTCTTACCTGCCATTTTTGCCCACATACTTTTTGGTTCTTGTCTCACTGAGTTCTTCCTATAATCCCTGGAAGCATCAGTCATCCCATGACTGTATGTCTTTCCAAAATGCCATTCCCGCAACCTGGAGCACTTTCTTCCCCTGTCAATTATTTTCTTTCAGCCTTTGAAATTGCTCAAATATTGCTCCTTGTCAAAGCCTTAACTTAAACATTATGTTGTTAATAACTTGTGTTACCATGCTCATCTACCTCTTTATAAATCTGGTCATTTTTATATCTCCTGCTACTAGGCCATATACAGGGCTTCAGAATGAAAAATTCTGTTGTACCAAGCACAGTATGCCAAGAAGGTATAAATTAGTGAATCACCAATACTTTGCCCAAAGTAAGCATTCAATAAGTGTGTCATTGTAAATAATTTCAGTCAGGACTTGCTAAAATCTATTTTATTTGCTCTCAGCAAGTCTGAAAATGCAGCTCAAAAGAATAAGGTCCTTTTTGAGAGGCCACTACTATAATTTTGGGATCCAATTGATGACTGGTAAACCTACTGCTCACCATAGTAATGAAATCTGAATCCTGGAACCACTGGTACTTGTGGTAAAATACTGCTTCTGTCTCTTCATAAAGTTAACATAGAAATGATTTCTGAAATATTGTATAAACAACTTAAATATCTCAATGTCTGACTCCTTTTTGTGCTGCTTTCCCAAATTCAAAGAGTCCATTGTGATATTAATTATAAAAGTATTGTTGATCTGAAAATTAGACATTCTTCTAATCAGCAATATATTTAAGTGATGTAAATCACACCACTATTGGTATTACATGAAAATTTTAAAAATACAATGTATTTCTATAGATATCCAAGTACTGCAGTGCCTCATTGAGCCCGCATATTCTGGTTTTTCTTAACAAATATATAAATTATTTATCTAGCATGATCAAGGAATGAGGTACTTCACAAACCACTTTACTGGATAACAAGTTTTATAAACATCACATATCTTCAACATTTTAAATATTTTCAATGGCTACATGTCACATAATATAACAGTTCCACTTTTTTAAAAATAGCAAAATAAATATAATCTCACTTTTTCTTGATGATTCATAATCATTATTATCAACGTCAATTTCTGCACTATAGATCACCCTGGAATACAATGATATCCTTAAGGTCTAGTAATAAATACAACGCTGTTTGCCTTTATCCTAAGTGAATTCGGATTGTTTTTATGATTCTCTGCTCTTCATTTTCTCTGCCTCATCCTTTTACTTACTGACAGTTCTTTGTTGTTGTTGTAATCAGTGTGTGCGGATGGTTATTTTTCATGAAACTCTTTTTTTTGTTTTAGGAAACTCTTTAGATGAGGGCTGTGAATGGTTAACTTCTAGACAGCTAAGTGCATGGGTGCATGGTCTTTGTGACTGTCATTTGCTGTCATTGAGGCCCTTTTCTTCCCTCATTATTTCTAAATCTATAACATGGCGAGATTGTCAGAAGAATAACAACTAAGTATGTGCTTTGTAAGTAATACCAGTTTTCATTTATATTAATCATTATAATTTTCACTGAAGAATTATTAGTCTTATTAAGATACATCTTATATTAGTCATCAACTTAAATAAACATCATAGTTCTTAAGTAATTCAGATTTTCAAAGCCTGGCTATCAACTTCAGACTCAATATAGAATATGCTTTGATGTTACCATACTGCAGAGGGATATTCATCTTCACTTACCAACTTTTTCAAAAAAAATTTAAGAGTCACCATTCCGTTCTAGCATGATAGTGTGAAAACTTCAAATTCTAACTCAATCCTTTTCACTAAACTTTGCATATTGACAGTCAGTTTTACTCTATTCTTTCCACATTATCAGAAAAAGAAGAAGAGAAGGTGAGAAATCATGCTTTTTTTCATTCATGAGAAAAATAAAATAAAAAATAGGTAGCTATGTCTATGGAACAAAAAAATTTAGTAAAAGACACTAAATCTGATATTTTAAAATTCCTGTCATAATTTGCTTAGAATAATAATCCAATACTTGCTTGTGATCTTTGAAAATGAGAACATTTGTAAAAATTTGAGTGTCACAGTAACAGCTATTCATAAACTCTTCAACGTCCTCAGATATATAACAAGGGAAAATCTTGCTCCTCAGGGTTAACACAAAATAAAACACTCATTTTGGTCATCTTATGAATGAATGCCAGTTCATATATGTCAAAAAATCAATTTTACTTAAAAGGTCACCCCAACTTTAAAAAAAGCATTAGAATAAGAAAGACAGACTACACCATATTAACTTGGCTGAATTAAATCTTTTTTCCACACAGAAAAGTCTATTTCTACCTTATACTGATTTTCATTGTACCTAGAATAATGACCAATCTCATGAAGCAATTCAAGTATAAAATAATTAATTCTAATAAAATAATATGATTAGGAAATAAACATATTTCTTATCGAAGAAAATAAATGATTTAAAATCTTGGTTACTTACAGCTATATCAAAAAAGACCAAAATAGGTCTGTAACCGATAGTCAGCTGACCTGATCACATATGGCCCTTCCATCTCAGTACTTTTTTTTTTTAAGGGATGGGGTCTTGTTCTGTTGTCCAGGCTTCAGTGCAGTGACACAATTATGGCTGACTGCAGCCTTGACCTCTTAGGCATAAGCAATCCTCTCACCCTGGCCTCCTCTGGGACCACAGACACACACTACCATGACCAACTAATTTTCTTTTCATTTTTTATAGAGGTAAGGTCTCACTATGTTGTGCAGGCTGGTCTTGAACTCCTGGCCTCAAGCAATCCTCCCACCTCCGCCTCCCAAAATGCTAGGATAATAGGTGTGAATCACTGGGCTCAGCCTCTTTTGTATTTAATGCTGATTCTCAATACTGCCTGGCCAATTTAAGGAGTTACTTTCTTTCAAGGTATTTCTTAAACACTTCCAAGATCATCCAAAAGATGGCTTAAGCAAAGTGCGGACCAGGTCTTAGGATTGGAATTCACAATTGTCTAATTCTCTGTGAATTTAGTCTGCAACTTTATGAGACTCATCATTTTCTGCTTATGCTCCAGCTCTGAAAAAAAAATTATATCCCATTCCTTAATTAAATCTTCCACCAGCTTCGTTATAGAACGGTGATAAGTTTTAGCTAGCAACTTGATAAAAAGATATCTACAAGGATTTGAACTCTACAGTTGAGAGGAATTTGAACTTAATATAGTTATGTATTTTATAAGTACCCTGTGGGTAAAAATAATATTCCCTAAAACCTAATAAATATTATACTGAAAATAGCGGATGGCCGGGTGTGGTGGCTCATGCCTGTGGTCCCAACACTTTGGGAGGCTGAGACAGGTGGATCACTTGAGGTTAGGAGTTCAAGACCAGTCTGGCCAACATGGTAAAACCCCACCTCTACTAAAAATACAAAAATTAGCTGGGCATGGTGGCATGCTCCTGTAATCCCAGCTACTCTGGAGACTGAGGCAAAAGAATCGCTTGAACCCGGGAGGTGGTGGTTGTAATGAGTGATATCTCGCCACTGCACTCCAGTGTGGATGACAAACTCTGACTTTGAGTCAGAGTGAGACTCAGTCTCAAAAAAAAAAAGGAAGTAGTGGACATTAACCACAGTTAATTTATACAAGTTGATGAGTCTATCCTTTAATCACAGAATTATAAAGAAATTCTTGAAGAGAAAAATGTTTGGATTCCTTAGTAGCTGTCTCTAACTCTAAGAAGAAAGGAGAAAAGTAAAATATTATTATTGAGAAAATAAACACTTACTGGTACTTTGAAGGGTGAGGTATTTGCAGTGTCCATGGAGTTGGGTTTCTCTGACGTACTGGTCCCTGAGATACTCCGTCTACGAGGGGACCTTTCTGCTGGTACCTCTGGAAAAAAGGAGGAAGGCTGAAACATCATTAAGAACCCCAAATTTAGGATCTTCCACTAAACTGTAAACTTATTGGTTTTTCACAATAAATCAGCATGCTTTAAAGGTACATTGCTTTCTATCTCACATAATTTATCTATCTTTGAGGTGCTTAAACTATCAAGAAACTAGAGAGATTTGAGCACAGTTAACAATCTGCTTTAGTGTGACAGCTTATATCTTCATCTGTGTACATATAAAAATAATTTCCTCTGAGCTATGTTTAATATCTTTAAGTTCACTTAATAGTTCTCACAGTATATAAATCTACTTCCCTATGTGTCAGCAATGTAGGAGTTAATAGAATAAAACGGAATTTCTAATGTTCTTGTGAACAAAATATAGTCTAATGTTGCACATGATTCGACGGTGTTTGCACAAAGGTGAAAGTTAGTTCTGTGCAGAGAAGATGATGCACCAGTCTGCAACAAAAGGGGCATGAGAAGACTAAAAGCTGCTGCCAAGATAAAATAACATATATGCCTATGGAGATATAAAAATAGATCAGTTTCTCCTTGTTCTGACAATATGACCTTACTAAGATCTTACTCTGGAATCCTAAATCTGTTCAAACTGAGCTAACAAGCTTAGGATTTTGCAGATAATGTGATCTTCTCCCATTTAATTACTATATACTGTATTAAGGCTACATTTTAAAGATTTTTTTCATAGAGTGATATATAGATATACATATATATATATACACTTGTGTGTATATATATATATATATATATGCATACACACGCACACACAGATGATAGATATATACGTATTATACCTTTATCACAACTGCTTCCCATCGCCACTTCAACTGACAGACATAAAGGAATCCAGCTTCTCAGATAACATTAGATAATCTCAACATGGACAAGGAAAAAAAAGCCACATCCTAAAAAAAGTATTCTGTGTTATCTTCCAGATCTTAGAAAATAAGGAGTAAATCGTAACTCCGGAGACTGACATTTTGATTCCTGCTGTTCTCCCTTTAAAAGATAGATGCAGTTTAAACTTCCATTTCTGGCCTCCTGGCCCCTGGGATCCGTGCTACTTCCACTTAAGAGAGAGCGTTTTTTCTCTCGCTCCCTCTCTGTGTCTTGCTCTTCCCCCTCCCTCTCTACAGCTTGCAGAGAGAGCAAGCAAGAAAGAAACACACAGGACTGCAGCTATTCAATCAATCGTTCTGACTGCACATCCTCATTAGTTACTTTCAGGCTATTAACAGACGCCCAACCACTGCCTTCCCTCAGTTACAGAAAATTTCACTGTATTACACTAATCTGCAGCAAGAAAAAACATTTACTGAAATGTATATTCAGCTAGTGCCAAAAGGACACCATTTTACACAGACCCAGTAATACACACAAATCAATTCCTCCTATGAAAATCCAATTGGAAGTGCTTACTCTTTTACTATCTTTGCATGCTGGACGCTGATTTTCTTTTCCATGACTAAACATACCTTCTCTGTGATATCTTGACTGGTAAGGCATAAGCCAAATTGGAACATTCCTAGAGACTGAGAGGCTGACAACATAGCATCTTATATGCTTGCAGTATATGAGAGTTCCACACTACTACTATATTTTAAAATTATGACCAATAACTGTAAGTCCCTTAACTTCTCTCTAGTTAAATGAACCTAAATGTACAAAGCCGTTTTCAGAATTAGGACACATGACTTCTAATGCACATCTCTGAAAAATGGCAGCATAATTAGCTCAGATTCCTGGAAATGGCACAAAGCACTGAATTTAAGTAACTCAGCTTGTATGAGCATATTGAACAACAAGACTTTCAGACTTCTGGAATATGACTTTAGAGAGTAATTATACAAGTTAGGTGATGTGGCTAGGGCCAAGGCAGGCAGAGAATGGGTCTGGTGAAGACAGAAAAAAATCTCATCTTTCCTCTGATAATTACCTATAAAGGTAACCTCATATCAAATTAGAAGATACTGGAGATTTAATATTATAATATAGCATGTTTTAATTTCTGAATAATTGACAGAGAAACCAAATTGGAAGAAAAATAAGTTTCATTAGCCAGAATAAAATTATCTAGTAAACCATTTCCTTAATTTGCAATGTTCTGGCTAAGGAAAAAAACCGAAATTCATTTCCTCACTTTCTTCCAAACAGCCAATTTTAGTTTTCAGGCATATAAACTCATTAAATGAATATGTTTCAATGCTTTTAACTATTTGATATTATATTGACTAAAATGAGTGACCACATTTCAAAATCTAATAAATATTATATTGTTATGTTTATCTTTTTAGATTCTCTTTCTGTATCATGGGAAAAAAATACAACACTGATGTGGCTTATAGAATGTATTACTGGGTCCAGAAAGAAGATATTAAATCATTCTTGAAATCCGAACAATTTCCACTAAAGAGGGGAAATAAAGGAAATAAGGTAAGCTAAATCAACCAATGAAAAGAAGTTCACGCTTTGTCACTCTCTCAATCCCCACAATAATACAACTCATCTGCTAGTATAAATAGGCCTTTGGAGTATCCCAGTTCTTTAGTTCTCAGAAGATTCATAACTACTTCAAAGGATACAGAAAAATAAATACACCAAGTACCAATGTCCACTTAGAAGCAAGGTAGCAGCATTAGCAAAAGCAGAATGAGCAACCTGTTAGTCACAGGAAGGACTGCATATTAAACTTGTGCCTTTAACTTTAAATCTGTAAGAAGAAAGGAAAGCTGCTACTATGCTCTAAGAGCTACATTTCTGCTCTGTTTGACGGAAAATCTATACTAGTTCCAGTAGACCAAAATTAGACAGCTGTATTCTCCACCCCCACTCATGCTACATACTATTGCATTATTTTCACCTGCTGTAAAATTAATGTTCTTTTCATAGTTACAATATTTAATTGCAGCCATTTTAAAATATGCTCCTTAAGACTGATGAGACAAGAGAGATACAATATTGTTTCAGTAGATAAAGGCCTGAAACTGCCTCATTCACTTTCTCATCTCTAAAAATAATATTTTTCATCTTCAGATTGAAAAGCAAAAAGAGTTATAAAAAGCCTGGTTAAGTTTTAAATTTATCTCTTCATTTCCTTTGCCATTGGATATGACCTGAGATGATGTGATGATTTACAATGATGAGAGATAACCTCCAACAGAGCTCCATATAGAATGATGTATTGAACAAAGAGAACATCTGGATGTTTTTCTTAGCAGCTCTACCAACGACATGTATGATTCTGTGTAAGCCATCTCACCTTTTCTGTCCTGACCTGGTCTTCACCATTTAATAAACTGGGTTATTCAGATCAAACAGAGATAAAGACAAGATTAATGAGTTTATATGCTTTAATACAAAATTAGCTTTCTGGAAGGAAGAATCCTTTTAAATTCAAAATAGAGTAGTAGTATTTCCTCAACATATACGTTTTCCTCTTTGTCAATGTGCTTTCTTTGGAAAGTGTGGCAAAGAAACTGAAAATTGGATAATTACAGGGGCAAATGTACTTTTGGTGGAGGATGTTCCTGTTCAACAAACAGAAGTCAACTTCTGCCTTAGAACCAAATAGTCTATACACTACCATTGGTTCACTTGTCAGGAAGTAAATGCCAGAAATTCCTATCATGTATTTGGGAAGACCCTAAGAAGTAAGTTAGAAGGTGACAAGTGTTTTGCGGGAAATAAAAAGAAGGGAGATGAAGAGGTATAGTAATTTTAAATAGGTAGTTGCATTGCAAAGGTGAGGTGTGAGTCAATGCTTAAGGAGGTAAGGAAGTCAGCCCTGCAGGTTTATCAGGGAAGAAGACTACAGGTAAAGGGAAGCTAGTACAAAGCTTCTAAGGTAAAGTGCAGCAAAGAGGGCAGTGAGACGGGTGCCAGTGAGTGGAAACAAATAGTAGGAGACAAAGTCTAAGAGAAATTGGGGTAGACGTGCTCAGATAATACTGGCCAATATAAGGGCACTGACAGAAGAAAATGTGTATCCTAAGGAAATGACATTATAATACTATTACATTTCAGATTTAAAGAGCCCCTTTCTTTCAAAAAGCTACTTTTGCACCAAAACTCATTAATCTTTCTTGTAAGGACTTTTTTCTTTTTTACTCTAAAATGAAAAACCACCTGGTCAGACATGCATCACCAAAATATACAAATCATATTGAAAGTCCATAGATAAACACTTACTCGTATTTCTTAATTCTTTTCTCTCTCTCTCTCTCTCTTTTTTTTTTTAAGATAGTTGCCCAGACTGGAGTGCAGTAGTGTGATCTGGGTTCACTACAACCTCCACCTCTGGGGTTCGAGTGATCCTCCCACCTCAGCCTCCACTGGGACTATAAGTGTGTGCCACCATGCCCATTTCTAGAAAGGGGTTTCATCATCTTACCCAGGCTAGTCTCCACCCAGGCTATCAAAGTGTTTATCATATTAACTAAGGGACAGGTTCCAAAAGCCTCTGAAAATATCTTAAATGAGAAAGGTATCTGCTATACAATGTCATTACTGTATGGTCAATACCTGTACGTTTACTTTTTGTTCAATCTCATTTAACTGAAGTTCATATGCCACATAGTATTTGCATTTACTTAACTAATATATATAAATTTCTTATAATGTCTACCATTTTTTAGAATTAGTTACCACAGTGTAAAAATAATAAAAAACAGGTAAAGATGATAATTTTTAAATGATGTACTATAAAAGCAATTTAAGCACCTCTTTATGAATAATTTATCTAGGGAAAATATTTTTATTGTAATTTTAGCTTATATTGAGGTGTTTTTTCTTTTTTGGAGACACAGTCTCACTCTGTCTCCCAGGCTGGAGTGCAGTGGTGCAATCTCAGCTCATTGCAGCCTGTATCTCTGGGGCTCAAACGATCCTCCCACCTCAGCCTCCTGAGTAGCTGGAAGCACAGGTGTGCGCCACCACACCCAGCTAATTTTTAGCTCATGTTGAGAATTTATGTGCTAAGTACTGGGTCTAGTATCTACCTTACTTAATCTTTGCTGTAGACCCTGAGGTAGTAACAATTATTAGTCTCTATGATTAGGATGAAGGCAAAATTTAAAAGGAAATAAATAAAGTAAGTCCAGAAAATTCAGCAGAAAAGGTAAATAAAATGTACAAAGATATTTATAGCTTTAATTTGGTGAACAATTACGTAAGAAACTAAAATAACATAGTAAAATTCTCAAGTTATAATAGACCAGAAAAATATTACATGTCACAGATGCAGTTTCTTTGGCATATACAGGATGTCTAAGCACTTCACATTAATGGCAACCCAAACCAATTCCTAGTAATTTTTTGCACAGAATTACAAAACATGAATAAATGTAAGTACTCTGACAATTATAATTATTCACATACCCTATTAATATTTTTGATATTTGTGGATAGGAAACAAGTTTCTAATGTTATTCTCATAAAGCGAATTCTTCAGTTTACTTCAAAAGCCTTTTTAAAAATCAAAATTTCAACAAAGCATGATAAAACACTGAATACAAACCAAACTGTGTTTGTGTACCCATTCAAGTCACTGAAATTTTGGCATATATAGTGTTGCTGTGAATGAGTCCACTTCACTATAATCTATTTTCACTTGCATTGTGTAAATAATGACAACATTAAATAGGATGCAGTATGTCGGTGGCTCAAGTTATTAATGAATGAGATAAGCAAATAACTTCTCTCTCCATGCTGTGAATTCTGAATTAGGAAGAGTCTTCTTCCATGGGATGCACAGAAGACATTTAAGAAACCGAATAGGTAGGAGGAAATGGGTTTGTAGCTCTTTAGTTAAGAGGGGCTTTAATAACAAACGTCAAAGTGTGAAAGAAAAAAGGCTTTCATGAAAATGAGGTTTCACATCTTTTGCTGGAGGACTCCTAAAGGTAATGGGAACTTAAAAGACAGAGTTAGAAAAATATTATAAAGAAAAAGGGACAAGACCAAAGAGAAGAAAATCATATACTGCATTTATATGGCTGGTAACACTATAGCACCTGCCTGTTTCTATAAACTTCATCCACCATTTTCAGTAGGGTACTTTCTGCTGTATCCTATTTTTACTGCCTTAAAGCCTATGCACTGTCAACTACGAGCATTCAGCTGCTCTGAAATACAAATCCCCAGAGCCACTTTAATTCACCCAATTTGTATCACTCTGACAGCAGTACTTCACTCAAACAAGCAGTCCTTTCAAGTTTGCATGCCCCACACACTCCAATATGTACAAATTGGTGCTAAGTACATAAATGTGGTAAATTCTCATTAAGTAAAGCCATCCAGTCTCCCCTCTCCATTTCCTTGCTTCAGTAAATTTATTACTGTTATTTAAAAATATTTCTTCTTGTTAACATAATAGAAAAACAATTTTTTTCCCTGGCCAAGGAATCTGAACAGCACTCACAAGTATTCCATTTCTTCAACTTAGGGCTTCACATGCTAATGGTGGATGAGATAGTAGAGAATACTTTTAGTGCACACAACACTGTCAACTGAAAAGGCCAAGAATATAGCTCAGGGATGTTTATGTGTTTTCATAAGTTTCAGGTAGAAAACGTGTATCTAGTTCTTAGTGACAACAACTCGGCATTTTAATGATGATAAAAACATAACAATGACAAGTTCAACATCAAAGTGTCATGTTTGGTGCAAAAGTCATTGTGGTTTTTGCAACTTAACAAGTGCAAAACCACAATTACTTTTGCACCAACCTATTATTATGCCTTATTATTTGCTATATGTTATATATGTATTATCACTTTAAGCCTCAAAACGATCCTTGGGAGGTGGAACTATCAACCTTATCTTCCACATTAACAAGATGTTCTATTACTCTGCCCATGTTTGCACAGCAGGTAAAAAGGGTGGGAGCAGTAGAACCCATGCAGTTTGGCTTTAGAGACTGCTTTTAATCACCAAGCATTCTATCCTGTTCTCCATGTGTTTTTCACAGTGGAATATACAGTTGTATAATCAACTGTGGAAGATAATCTCTTTTAATCTACAGATAGGGTCTAACACATTTATCTAAACTTTTTCTGTAACTGATTCAATAATGTATACTAATTATTAATATGCTTCATATATAACTTTTTCTATAACTGATTTAGTAATATATTCTCATTGTTAATATGCTTCATATATAATTGGGGGTACAATCGTAGATTTATTCATACCATCATTTTGGTATTCAGGGAACATTAAAAAAAATTAGTCTTTGATTATGCCAGAGCCTCTGTTTGGGTTTTATTTCCCAAATAAATTTTAATAAAAAACATTAAAAAGAGAAAAGATACAAATATGTAAACCTGTAATACAAACATGAAAACTTAATCATTTACTTAGAACTAAATATGCACATGACACTGTACAAAAACAAAATCATTTACACTCAACATCACTCATTAGTAAAAGTAAAAAAGAAAGGTGCCTACGATGTTGATTTGACCCCTTTAGCCAACAAACACTGCTAAGTGTCTCTTCAAAATATCTGTTGGCTTCATTTTACCTTGTTTATTTTCACTACCATCCGTCATCCTAATCTAGGGCTTTTCATCTTCTCATGCAGATCATGGCAGGAACCTTCTAACTACTCTTACTGACTCCAGTCTCTCCCTGCTTAAAGCTATCCTACTCGTCATTATCAGATGGATCTCCCTAAAACATTACTTTCTAGATGAAATTTCCTTCCTAGAGATCTTCAGAAAGTCAGGCATTAGAGAAAAAATCACCTGGCTCTACTTTGCATATTTAGTCCTTTCTGCCAACAATTTTCAACAATTTGCATCAGTGAGATGATCTCTAATCTCAAACTGGCCACATTCATTCTCCCATGTCTGCCTTTGCTAATGGTTTTCACCTATGTGTCTGCCAACTCTTAGATGACCTTCAATATCAACTTCAATTCATCTACTTCCATAAAACCATACCTAATTATGTACTCACATTTCTTTGATTTCAAATTAATAAATTTATGTAAGTTCATATTATTTGATTATATATTTTCCAGTTTTGGGTACCAAACTAAACTATATTCCTAATACTGATACTAGTGTTTCATAACGGAGGTCTTATGTTGCTGCAAGATTGGAATCATCTTGTGATTGTATCTAAATTTTAAGACAAAACAGATGTTAACAGGTAGAATTCTCTCAGTTTCAAGTATTTCTCTCACAATGTTTTTCCAATTTTAGTATATGTGCTGCTGAGGCAAGCACCACAATGTTTTTATAAATCATTTGCACCCATTTTTGCTTGTCTGCAGGGTACAGACAATTTTCTGATTACTTTTAATTCACATATGCAGTTAAACTCTGCCATCTGGTTGAGTTTAAGACCACTCTCCTTTGTATATATTACGTATATTAAATTGATATTTTGTCTTTTAATTTTTTTCTTTTTCTTTTGATTTTTCTATTAGTGACATGGCTATCACAGAAAAATTGAGATTCTGATAAAAAGAAGTTTTGAGGTTTTTCCTTCTATGCATCATTCTACTTAAAAAGGTCACAGGCCAGGCACAGTGGCTCATGCCTGTAATCCTAGCACTCTGGGAGGCCGAGGTGGGTGGATCACCTGAGGTCAGGAGTTTGAGACCAGCCTGTCCAACACAGTGAAACCCCATCTCTACTAAAAATACAAAAATTGGCTGGGCATGGTGGCACATGCCTGTAATCCCAACTACTTGGGAGGCTGAGACAGGAGAATTGCTTTAACCTGGGAGGCAGAGGTTGCAGTAAGCCAAGAGCCAAGATCACGTCACTGCACTCCAGCCTAGGCATCAGAGCAAGACTCTGTCTCAAGAAAAAAAAAAAAAAAAAAAAAAAA